CACGCAAAGAAAGAAGGCGTGGTTTCAGTAACCGCAGTTAGTGTTGAAGCAGCATGTCAGGGAGATGCTGTGTGTTTCTAGACGAACGCAAAAGCACTTTATTTGGCGTGTGTGTGTGCGCGTACGTGCGTGCGTGCGTGCGTGCGAGAGAGAGAGAGAGAGACCAGCTTCATCACGGTGTCTGTCATGCGACTCTGTTCCCCTTTCGGCTCTGTCTTTACATTTATTTTGAAAGATGAAGATCGCAATTATGGTAAGGGGCGTTACATTTCCGACGAGTGCTTGCGGTGTTCGGCCAATCACAATGCACTGGGTCAGCTGGCCAATCAGAGCAGACTGCGCTTGTCGGAAGGAGGGACTTTGTAGAAAACTAAGCTTTTGAGAGAGGCGGGGCATAGAGGACCTACAATAATGTACAGTATTTGAAAAATAATGTGTTTTTTGAACATTAAAGCATGTCAACATATTCTGTTACACCAAATACACAAAATAATGATCTTTAAAAAAGCATCATATGACCCCTTTAAGGTTAACTGTTGGTCAGTTTGTCTGCTTGACAATTCCATTTTGCACTGCAACAATAAAACTGAAGTGAGATAAACAAACTGAGAGATGTTTCTTTTGAGTTAAAACAGATGTTGCCAAAGTTTTAGTTTGGGAACATAATTTGAAGTTGGAAAAAGGTAATAAATTGCAATATATCACAATATATTTAAAATCGCAATAATATTGTATCGTGACACAAGTATTGTGATCATATCGTATTGTGGGCCTCTGGTGATTCCCACCCCTGTGGTTTTACCATCTGACGTCATCATTGTACCATGGTCCTGTGCCAGGACTTTTCTTAAGGAGTGGTATTCTCAAGACCACTATGCTATTGCCATAGGCATATGGCAATATGAATATGATATTCAGAAAACCATTGTATTTATATGCCACTCTAAATATGTCAAAGAATAAGGTGGTATTAGCATAGTGCACATCTAAAAAACCATGGTAATATCATGGTGCTTTTGGTCATTTTTATTAGTGACTTTAGCCAATACATCAAAATGAACTACTACTTTTTTCATATGTACCATAGTAGAATCATAATATTCCCTGGAGTACCACGTAAATACCATGGTTTTACCATCTGATACAGTCATTGTATCATGGTACTGTCACAGGACTTTTCTGTAAGGGTGGTACTCCCAGGAATACCATGGTAACGTTACTGCCATATTCATGGTATTTTAGGGTACGTTACGTTTTTGTTAATTTAATGTCAGTGATTTTGAGGTAACTTAACGTGGAATATAACACACCCATCTTTGGAGTCTGTCCAACTGCGCTCGCAGCTCTTCCCGCTGATAGAAACTGAACGCCGGGTGTAACGATCCCATCGTGAAGAGCAGCCGCAGCTGATCCACAGTCTCCGGCTCCGGTAGAGCGCCGCACATCCCGGCGCCCATTCGACTCAACGTCCGGAAGAGAATCCCGGCGCATTCCCTGCTCTTGGATCCGAGCAAAGACAAATAAACGAGCAGTTTAGACAGCACAACGACTTTTTTCATATGTACCATAGTAGAATCATAATATTCTCTGGAGTATCACGTAAATACCATGGTTTTACCATCTGATACAGTCATTGTATCATGGTACTGTCACAGGACTTTTCTGTAAGGGTGGTACTCCCAGGAATACCATGGTAACGTTACTGCCATATTCATGGTATTTTAGGGTACGTTACGTTTCCAAAACTTTTGTTAATTTAATGTCAGTGATTTTGAGGTAACTTAACGTGGAATATAACACACCCATCTTTGGAGTCTGTCCAACTGCGCTCGCAGCTCTTCCCGCTGATAGAAACTGAACGCCGGGTGTAACGATCCCATCGTGAAGAGCAGCCGCAGCTGATCCACAGTCTCCGGCTCCGGTAGAGCGCCGCACATCCCGGCGTCCATTCGACTCAACGTCCGGAAGAGAATCCCGGCGCATTCCCTGCTCTTGGATCCGAGCAAAGACAAATAAACGAGCAGTTTAGACAGCACAACGGGGTCGCTTACGTCCACCAGCCCCTCCAGATCAGCGGGGCAGTTGGCCCGGATCTCATAATCTCGCAGGACGGTGAAATCTCTCCGGGCCAGATCCTCCAGACAGGCGCCGAGGAAGCGTAGCTCCAGCGGCTGACACATATGCAGCAGCCCGCAAAGCAGCTCCACGCGTCCGGATGGGTTCAGCTGTAAGCCGAACCACTCGAATACCGCCTCTTTGTCGAGCTGAGCCGCTCCGGTGCCGCTCTCCCGATCGGATCCGTTAACGGAATTCAAGTCGCATCGGTGATTTTCGCCTCCCGCCGCTCGCAGCTTCATCTTCATCATTATCAGCGCTCAAACACGAACATCAGAGTTGGAAGTCCATGGATGGTACTTTCTGGCCAATATTTTGGCATCAAAACGCGATGAAGTTCCCGACTTGGGGCGGAATTTCGTTGAAAAAAATGATCTGTCTATAGTCAGACGGTGTGGCTGTGGTCAGTTTGCCAGATTACTCGCCTGCCGTGCCTCCAGAATATCCTGTCAATCATCCGTGACTCCGCCCACTCCTCATATGAGTTTATGAGTCGCAGGGTCCTAAACTCACCAGCTCGAGCTATGTATTTATGGACTGACAAAATATAACAAATATATAAACAATTAAGTACATTAATTATGAATTCAATAAAATACGAGGCAATTATTGCATAATTAATTAAATATGTCAGGAAATTCAAGTTTTCAAATATTTATCATATTCAAATTACCCTACATTTTTATTTATCAATTCAAATATTTATCATATTGGTGATAAATAACTTATTTATCACCCTAAATCCTAGTACATACCCTACAACTTTATTTAATTTTATTCTATTCCTATTCTATCTATAGCACACCTGTACAACAATTTATTCTTTTGTTGTGGCTTATATTTACGCATGTGTATTTTATTCACATCTTATTTTTATTATCTGTGTGTTGTTGTCGTCTCTGTGTACTGGAAGCTTGTGACACTATAACAAATTCCTTGTATGTGCAAACATACTTGGCAATAAAGCTCTTTCTGATTCTGAAATATGTTAAAGGGTTTAACGGTGCTATAATCATAAACTCGAGTGGCCTTGTGCTTTATATAAAATGATAGGGCTGGGTAAAAAAAAATATTGATATCTCGATATTAATCGATTCTCATTTTTACGGAACGATATCGATTCCTAAATCCCAAGAATCGATCAGTCTAGCCTGTTTTCAGTTAATGGACGGAATATTGAAGGGTACTTCCCATCCAATAAATCGCAATAATCATTGTGCTTTGGTACTTTAAATATGAAACAATGTCTCAGATTTCAAATTCTGTCCATTGTATTGTAATATTTAAATAATAAATGCCTTTTGGCGCTGTTTAATGTGGAGTGACAGATCGCTGTATAGCGCCTCAGATCAACAGACGCTGCAGCGCGAGGCGCACGTGAGCTGATCATCTCCTTCACATTAATACCAGTTTCAGCACAAAATAAACATGACTAAACATCCGAAGGTAAGTTAAAAGTCTCATGTAATCGCTCAATCTGTGTTTCAGCCGTGCAAAAATGCCAATATAAGGCTTGTAAACAAAATGTCACATAACCTCACATTTACCTCAGAAAAAAACATATTTGGTGACCATAAACTCATTAGTCAGATAGAAAAATAAACTAGAGAGGGGCATTTTATATTTACCATATAACATATTCATTATATTTTTTTTACTGTTCTTCAATGTTTAATTTATGTTTGAATAAATCCATCAAGTTTTTATGACAGCCACCATTTAAATGTTTATATTTCAAAAAAACGAATTGAAGTAGAAATATTAATATGTAACTGTAACTTTCTTATTGTAAAAACTCAATATTATAGTAATGTTGTACCAACTGACTCTCATGTATATTTTACAGCATTAGTTGAGATTTTTTTTCCTTGAGAAAATTTGGCATGTACTGTAGCCTACCTGATATATATCCCAAATAATCGATGTTGAATCGAATCGAATCGGTAATTGAATCGCAAGCTTGTGAATTAGAATCGAATCGAATCGTGAAATTTGTGTCAAAACCCAGCCCTATAAAATGACTTTTAGAAATATGATATATATAAGACACTATAGTTCATTTAATTACATTTATTTATGACAACAACAACAACAAAAACACAATAAAATAATTATTCCGCCAAATTACATAGTTCCATAGTGGCATTTATGTTTGAATAAATCCATCAAGTTTTTATGACAGCCACCATTTAAATGTTTATATTTCAAAAAAACGAATTGAAGTAGAAATATTAATATGTAACTGTAACTTTCTTATTGTAAAAACTCAATATTATAGTAATGTTGTACCAACTGACTCTCATGTATATTTTACAGCATTAGTTGAGATTTTTTTTCCTTGAGAAAATTTGGCATGTACTGTAGCCTACCTGATATATATCCCAAATAATCGATGTTGAATCGAATCGAATCGGTAATTGAATCGCAAGCTTGTGAATTAGAATCGAATCGAATCGTGAAATTTGTGTCAAAACCCAGCCCTATAAAATGACTTTTAGAAATATGATATATATAAGACACTATAGTTCATTTAATTACATTTATTTATGACAACAACAACAACAAAAACACAATAAAATAATTATTCCGCCAAATTACATAGTTCCATAGTGGCGTACGCTCATTAATACATTATTCAATTAACCTTGACTCACGTCACGTTTAAGTGTTTTGTGTTAGATACTTGCTACTAGCAATGCTGTTTTTACACTTGACATAAAATGCTCAATATGTAACAAATGATTAAAGATACATTCCTAACAAGCTGCTAAATAAGGACTATAATACAAGAAGGGTGTGAGTTAGTATCTAACAACCATTGTAGTCCTTTATATACAGTGGCTTCAAATGTTTGATGTATACGACTGTAGTTGCGCCTCTTCAAATTATGTAAACCAGAAGCTTGTTTTACTCATAAATCGAAAACTCAGAAGGAAATGGTGAGCTAATGTTGGCCTACAAGTGATGACGTCATGACAAGATGAAGTATTCAATCTCATGTGAGTGTATATTATGTAAAGCATATTTTTAAGCACTTTTCAGTGTATTCGAGTAAAAATGAGGGAAACATTTTTATTTTAATTTGTGAACTGATTGCAGTACCAGCATGAACCACTAGCATTCCCCAGCACGTGTGGGAAACCCTAGTTCAGGGGTGCCCAAACTCGGTCCTGGAGGGCCGGTGTCCTGAAGAGTTTAGCTCCAACCCTAATCAAACACACCTGAACCAGCTAATCAAGCTCTTACTAGGCATGCTAGAAACTTCCCGGCAGGTGTGTTGAGGCAAGTTAAAGCTAAACTCTGCAGGACACAGGCCCTCCAGGACCGAGTTTGGGCACCCCTGCACCTAGTTGTACTCAGTGTAAAGACCATTATATCCTTCAGAGGGCGACATTGTATAGCCGTGACATGATGTGTATATTTCAACAAGCACTCTGCTTCACATAGTTTTCAAGAACATGTAGAGTTAACGTTCAGCAAATATCATAACCAACCTCCCCAATACCACCATTTCCTTTCATATATTAGGACAAGCAGAAACTTTTCTCTTTCTTGAGATGCATGCCGCCTTTATTCCCACTGCTTTTCCACCCCAGATCCTCCACACAACAAATGCATCGTATTTCAGCATCATTACATCATATTAAAAACACTACACACCATTAAACTAAACTCACATGCTTCAGTTCACTTGTTTATGTCTCCTCTATTTTTGTCTAATGTGATTCCTCTGGTACCTGGAGGGGCCCACCTTTGATCCAAAATAGCTGTGCTAATATATAAATGTGTTTGAACAGCGGATATGTGTACAAGTCTGTGGTGTATAAATATATACAGAGGGACGTTTAGCAAAGCAACTCACAGGTTATTCCTTCCTCAGGTACTAATGTGGTTGGATGTGTTACTTTCTTTCTAAACATCTTTGTATTCATAAACAGGCCAATGGAGAATGATGGTGGTCCCCGAGGAGTTATTTCACAGTATTAGGATTCAATAGAAGGCGCCAACATCTGTGTTTAAGTATCTGGCCTAAACGGATGGAAGCAAACTCTGTGCTACTGGAAGAATAAAGGCATAGTCTTCACTGTAACACAAAAGACATTGCACAGACAAGATGTTAATGTAATGTCAATGGACTCTTTTAAATAACTCGATGCATGACGGCAGAGAAAATAAAGACTTTTTGCACTGCGCTATTTGTGGAATGGGCCTTGGGATTGGAGGCTCGGAGCCATTTGGCTTGACTTTCTTTGAAGAAGGTTTTGTGGAGGGTTAAACCCGTACTCCTCCCTCTCTCTGATGCCTGTCGCTCTTTCATTCTGCCCAGGAAAGGCTGTACGTAACTGTGGGTGCAGATATAAAAAGATACAGTCTTTGGCTGTATCTTGCCATCTGCACACTGCTTCTGCAGCACTGGACTGTAATTCATGTCAGTGATGAGAGCATTTTTAGCTCTTGTCTTGTAACGTGTTGGTGGCGACGTGTTGGTGTTTAAACTTGTGGATATCCAGGATTCACATTGCTGGTGAGAGAATTGCTTATTATTTTAGTGGGTTTTTTTTGTTTTGTTTTGTTTTGTTTACTTGTTTATAGGAATATTTGATGTTTTCTCAATTTAACTTTTCTAAGGGCCATGGTGCTATGTTAAGGGCCATATGTAATCATTGCAACAATATGTTTTGGATGCATTTGTTAAAATAACTTATCAAAATACCATGGTGTTATCATTTGTTCATTGAATCATGGTACTACTAAAGTACATATTTGTATGTGCAAATTCAGAATTTTAAATAATGAGTCAATAACTAAATTATATATTATTTATATATAATTATGTATGATATGTTTAGATGTATAGATAGATGTAGATAATTTACACACATTTTTATATTTCTTTCCAGGCATTTTCTAACTGCTGCTTGACTTTGTGTTGCCATACCATGCGGACATGGATGTTTTCTTCACTGATTGTTTGTGTTTTGTTGCTGCACATCAGTGGATTCCAGCAAGAGGACACTCAAGCTGGTTTGTCATCTTAGTCTTGTACTTTATATTGTATTAGTCAAATGGTTTAAATCATTGAACATGTTAACAGTATAAAGCGACAATCTTAAGGCATTCCTGTAGCTCAAACAGTAGAGCATGGCACTAGCAACGCCAATGTCATGGGTTTAATTTTCAGGGAACGCTTGAACTGGTAAAACCTTAAAAGCAATGTAAATCTCTTTGGAATTAATGCATCTGCCAAATGCATGAATGTAAATGAATACACTTGAGAAAATAACTTATTTAGTCATTCTTGTGTAATTCGAGCATTTAGTTGAGATGCCAGGCAAAAAGTGTCCCAATGTACCTTACTTTACTCTACATTTGTTCAAGAATTGTAACCCAGCTTGGTCTGCATGTGGACCCTATGGGCAAATGTTTTCCTGGGCTTGCAGGTTGCAGCACAAC